TGTTCACAGACCATCTTAAAGTTTGCAAAATTTTCCTCACGCTTAAAGAACTTTTTGCAGAGCATTTCATATAATGTCGTTATAGTTCACAGAAGTCTCTTGAAGTTCGTTGAACTTACCAGGAGGACATTGACCTCCCTTGAAGCTCACAAAACGACCCTGAAGTTCGCAGAATTTTCCTGAAGTTTATAGAACTTCTCCTCTAAAGACCGAAGTACATCTTTCAAGTTTGAAGAATTTTCTGAAGTTTGTAGAGCTTCCCTGAAGTTCAATGAACTTCTCTGAAAGTTGCTGAATTTCGCTGCGTCTTTGGAAGAACTTCTTTAAAGTTTGCAGAACTTTCCTTATATTCAATACAGATCCCTACAGTTCACAGAATTTACTAGAAAGTCACTGAACCTTCCTGAAAGTTTCCTTAGACAAAATATGGGAAGTCCAATGATGCTCTAGCAATTCTATAGTAATTCAAGGTGAGGGCTACCTAAACTCACTGGGCAAGAGGAGCTAATCTCATGTGAGTTTCGTTTCTGTATTGACGATATTATCGGGTAAACGATTTTCAAACAAATTCATCGTGGTTATCAGAATTTATTTTCGATCTCACCGTTGAGTCAAACATCTCTATTTATTTTTAAAAATCCTAGAAAATTTTCCACCCCTCAGGATGTGTTGGGGACAAATGCCACCTTCGCTACCTACTAAGTACGGGATACAAAACTTCCGGATACCTGCCATATCCTTTATTGAGCTTCGGTAAAAATCTTTCGACGATAGTCGCTTCTAAAGTGTCATGATTTTTTTTTTAAAGAGTCGCTTTTTCGAAGCAATCAAGCGAACTACCTATCTAATTTCTTCGTGATTCCAGATTTTCTACACGATACATCTATAAAAAAAAACACTCGAAACAGGACGAAAACCAATGCCTACTATGATTACGTGGATGTAACGGACTGTCCTGCTCGTTTTTTTTTCTTTTACTCTTATGAGGAAAGATAAATTAAATAAGATGTTGTGCTACGCAAAGTCGTCATAATCTATATGGATCTTACTTACAAAGAGAACTTCTTTAATGCCATTTGGATTAATTAAATCAACTTTTGAACCTTACTTAACTGCATTTTTTCAATTCAAAATCCATGATGAAATGTTTTAAAACCATCACCGATTTGATTGTTATGATCAACACTAACATCCTGTGAAGAAAAATCAGAGGTACATCAATGTTGCAAAAAAAGTGCCTTCAGACATAGCGTGCGATAGTCAAGTCATGTTTGACAGGAGGAATGTTCATCGTGAATCGATGATAAGAAACACAATGACATACACGAAAATGATATTGCTTGAAATGAAGCGATTCTGCGGAGAGTTCATTTTCTTTTCTTTGTTTCGAAAATCAAGAACTCTGGCGGCTGGATACCTGAGGCGATTCCAAAGTCAACCTGGAAAGGTTCACTGGCAAGCTTTGAAAAGAGTAGTCCGGTACCTCAAAGGCACGACAACCATGAAGTTCCAGCACAGACGAAATGAAATTGCCGAAGCATTAGTTGGATACGCGGTCGTGAGACGCTATGGATCGGAATTATATAAGCGGATTCATTTACGAAGTCTTTGGCACCACTGTATTCTGAGCCAATCAAAAACAACAAACCGTTGCAATGTCATCTTGTGAAGCTGAATATGCAGCTCTCAGCTCGACTGCCTCCGAAGGATTGTGGTTGAAGGAAGTTTTGGAACACCGGCAGCATATCGCACTTGAATCCGCTTTCAAACTTTTTGAAGAAAACCGGGGCTGCATAGCAATAGGAACCGACAACGAGAATAAGCCTGTGAAGCAATAGCTGTCAAACAACACTTTCTGCGGGACCATGTGGCAAACAGAAACATCAATCTGGAATCTACAGGAACAGCAGACCAGCCTCTGGCCGTTTTCGATAAATGACAACACTCCTAGGCAGTGCTATGATTTGTCACTGTCATTGACAGGCTTTCGTGAGATATTGAAAAAAATGTTTTTCGCATAGTCACTGGCAGACTTGATCCTCAAAAAAAACCTTTGATCTCATTAATTTTTTCGTAACAATAAGTGTTATTTTGTGCATTCTGTTTAACTTTATTATTATCCAATCAGTTCAGGACGTAGATGCTTGTTTACTTTAACAGCTACCTGAAATTGTTTTGCTCAAGTCACTTAATTTCGTTACAAATTTAGTTAATAAAAAAATATCTACACATGTTCGTCACTGGCAATTGTCATTGACAATTGAAAATGACAATGACTGATAGATCAAAGGAGTGATCAAAGCAGAATTGTCAATATCACCGTGTATTGTCTAAATTTGGCAGCAGTGCTCTTAGGACTTACCGATTCAGAGGAGATGTTGGAATAATTGATAACGCAGCAAGCAGGCCTGCCTATCAATCTTAGTTGGCTTTTACTAAACAAACTGTGCAAGACATTCATTCGTGTTATAGTAGCGAATTCGTTTATTATTCAGTTCAAACCTGGATCGGGTATCAAGATTGGGTCTGCTTTTGTTCTGAAAAACGTCAGTTTGATCGTTTGTTTTAAAAACCTACCTCAGGTTGAGGTTTGCACTGACAAAAAGTTCGGTTTTGCACTGGGTTGGAACTGGTTTCAACCCTCATAATAAACGAATTCGCTATAACTCTCCATCAAGCAAGTTTCAATATAATATTTGTTAGCCAGTTAAGCCCTGCGTTATTTATCTGCAATCAAGAATTTTAATTTGACTTCTAAACCACACCCCATTATTTTATTATTATATGCTAAGAAAGCCCTTTTGGGATTCTGTATCTATGTTGCCAATGTAATGTCTCTTTGAGATATATGTTCTTCCCAAGTTGTTTATATGGTGAATAGAGTGATGCAAAATTTGAAATTTTCGCTCCACAATACTTAAACTATTCCAAATCGGATCCTGACTAGCCTCTCAAAATTTGAACCCATTTGGTGAGAAACTGAGATGGCACAAACCATTTGAAGTTTGTATGGGAATTACTATGGTAAAACCAAGATTTTTGTTCATGTCTATCTAATAATTCACCATATTGGTCTGCTTTAAAAACTTTCAACTGTACTTGTAGGAATTTTTCCCAGCTACAACTTTACTCAAGATCACTTTTTGATTAAATGCAAGGATCGAAAGTTATCAATGGTTCAATGCGCTGATGTCTTATGATCTTGCTCAATCAACTGCTCAGCAGGCAACATTGGTGTTTCAGGGGTGTTGAATAGGACACAAAAATCATGACTACTATGTCACACTGCAAAATACAGTGTTGCCTACAGAGCAGCTGCTTGATCATGTCATAAGTTTACCAATCTCTTAAATAATTAATAACTTTTTCCTGTCTCGTTTTACATAGAAACAATTTTCAGAAAAGTTGTAGCTGAGAAAATTTTCTATAAGAATGGCTGTTGAGCTATTTCGCAGCTCAATATGGAAAAACACTAGAAGGCAATGAACAAAAAGTTGAGATTTCCCATAGTAATTTACATGTAAACTTCAAATGGCTTGTGCGAAGTCTGTTTCTAACCAAATGAGTTGTAACTTTGGGAGGCTAATCAGGACACGATTTGAAACCATTTAAGCACTGTGGAGCGAAAAAGTCAAATTTTGCATCAGTCTAATGGTGAAGCACGTGTTGTTTTTTTTTTAAATGATTTAAAATTTAATGCAATCCTTGCAATTTGAAAAAAGGAATCAGTAATCTAGCAGAAGATGTCCCAAATAGTACCTTTTTTAAATAAAATATTGATCAATTTTCTCTATATTTTGTTTTTTGTTTTTTGCCAATTGCTCTCTTTAACTGCTCAAAAAAAAAGAGTGTTCGATGTATGTTTTAAATATAATCTCTTGACACTTGAAACGACCTTGCATGATTTTTAGTAATTTAATAATGTTATTATAATTAACGGACATTGTACGATTCTTCAGGATACATTTAAACTGTTAATACTGTTTAGTGTAAACCTATTAACACTTCAAAATATCTCTGATGACTTGTAAACATAATTACTATTCTTGCACAGCACAGGTTGCATTAATCTCGGGAAAAAAGATGTTTGGCGGTATTTTGGACGATTAATTCGCAAACATCGCCCAGTCCATTCTCTGTCTCACTTAAATCAATATGACCCTCACTAGCGCCTAAAATATGGTTGCTTGGCTGTAGGTAACTCCATTAAAAAAAAACAAGGTTTGAATGTTGATAAAACGCACCAAAATTGCGCCTTCTACAAACCCATTCCATTAATTAAAAATTTTCCTTCGAAATGCTTTGTTCAAACTTTTGAAGAATCGCTCAAACTCCAATTAAATTTCCTTTCACGCTCTTTGTGCTTAGTGCAGCCCATATTAATCCTTTGCAAAACTTAATTATTCGATCCAAAGCCTCTGGCTATCGTTTCGCCAAACCAGCGAATGCTAGGTTGAATCCCAAGACTGTTCCACTTCGCTTTTCAAACATCAACGAATCTGTAGCACGCTTTCTGGGTGGGAGGCATAAGCTGTCAACATCGTCCACACTATGATGAGACCTTGGTAGGCAGATTGTAGACAACGCCAAGTTCACTGTTGAATTTCAATTTTGAACGAAGACAGATTCCGCTTCGCCGGCTTCCGCAAACAATTCCTCTGAAATTTCCGGCAAAAATGGCACGTGTCTGCGCTGCAAAACCAAAAAACCCCTGGGGAAACGTTTACACGAGCAAAATTTGTATTCCAAATTGAAATGTTCGATTCTGTTGAACACTCTTCCGAAAAATGAACGCCCTGCGCTAGCCTTCTGCAAATAATTACCCGTCTTAAATTCAACCGGTCCCTCGTGGTTGACCACAATCCATTAAGATCAAACCGTAAGAAAAATTCCACTGTAATTACTTTTCATCTCATTTTTAATTCGCTATTCGTATTTAACTTTCAATGCTAATTAACTGTTGTCTTGTTTGCTTTACTGTACGCTTTCTTCCATCCCAGGGTGACAGTGGTGGCCCGCTGGTGCTGCAACGTCCCGACGGTCGCTACGAGCTGGTCGGAACGGTATCCCACGGAATTCGCTGTGCGGCCCCCTACCTGCCCGGAGTCTACATGCGGACGACATTCTACAAACCTTGGTTGCGAAGCGTCACCAGTGTAAAATAAGCGCACTCGCCAGGCAAACAACAAGAAGGATGAGCGGATGAGAATCGACCTCTTCCTCTTCCTCCTCCTCCCCCACGCGGTTTAAATAGTTTGTAACGCGACGCGAATGATGGCCTGAAAGCAGCTGGAGTGGACGAACGTGTGGAGGTGTTTCTGTTACTGAATGAACGGGAGAGAGTGCGAGAGCGTGTGCATCGAAATCGAGCGAGATGTCGTAGGTAGTTACGTTTTAGGGAACAAATTGCAATAATTTATCTAGCGATTAGATGGATGTGATTTGGAGTCATTGTTAAGGATTAATTTATTATTGTTGTTAGTTATTAAATTATTTATTGCCTAGCTCGTAAGCGAATCCGATTAACAAAAAAAAAAACACATACGAGAAATCAACTGAAAATGGGTGGCAAGCAGTGACACGGTGTAAAAATGTGATTATTTTAATTTATTTCGAACAGAGAAAAGAATAAGAAACTCCTATTAAAGAAAAAAAAAATGAATCGTTTAACTTTTGTTTGCCTGCCGCCGAAAATCCGAATGCCAATCGCTGGAATTCTTGCATGCAGCAATCGGAAGCAATAAATTACGGTTCTGTGCAGTGAGGTAGGTTTTTGACTCAATTTCTCACGTAATGGCCAAAAGTCACGGGAAAAACTAGTACGGAAAGAATAATGACTATTCTATCACGAAACGAAGCAGCTTCAAGTGAAGCCAAATTGGTCTCCGGGTTGAAGTTTGACTGGAACAAATTTGAGCAATTTGGATTTCATGCTATTTTCCACTCAAGATAAGCGCGGTACTATCAATTTACCAAATCGTGGATAATGCACGACAATCAAACTAATGGGTTAATTAGCACACCTTGGACACGCTAAATGGTTTCACGGTAGGTTAATGCATCGAACCATGAAAACTTTTTCCGGGAGAAATGTTTGCAAACAATTCCAAGGAGACGCATGGTTTGTCACGCAAAGAATAGACCGGTTGACACCAACCCCCTACAATGCGATCCAGTTCTTGAAACTGCCGAAAACATCAGCAGCGCTGATGATCCATAACATATTGAAGCTCCAACCATGTAACATTAAATGCGGCAAGGTGGCAACAAATTTGATACCTTACCTTTACCATTCTTACTTTTCCGCAATGGACAATTAATAAATGATTTAGTTGTTTTCGAATTGACGAGCACAACGTCAAATCCTATAACGTTATTTAGAAAACACCATCTATTTTCCGCAACGTGGCGCAATATGTACCAAGCTTAATCATAGAGGAAAAGGAGGAGCTGTCAAATTAGAACCAGAGCACCAGAGAATTTTGGCTTCACTCAATTTGTTCGCAGATGACAGGCGTTGCAGTCCTGTGGTTGATACAAGGTTTTACATATGGGTCATTCCGCGCCAAGTGGTCACAAACAATTGCAAAAGTGAAATGGATCCCATCCGATTTGGACCAAATTTGGAGGGAATGTTCATTTAAGCTCAAATTCTACAAATCCAAAGTTGTATGCTAATCGGAGCACCCCTCGATCAAGGGGCTCATTTTCCATTATTCGTTATTTTTAGAAAGCACTACTTTCTTTTGTTCTTATCTCCGGAACGAATGAAGCTACAAATTGCATTATGTATTGTTTTAATAAGAAAATTAGACAAAACATCTAAATCTGTAACGTTTGATTCTGTACTGTGCTGCCATTTTTTTTTTTATATGTTTGAAAACTTTAAATGCAGTTTTCTCATAATACATGTCGTTTAATTTTCAATTTGCGGACACCATCGTGTTCTCCGTTTTTTACATAAGAAACAGTTAACGACAAAAAGTTTTTGCGTAGTTCCTGAGATATTGCATTTTGAATGAACAAAAGTTATTAATTATGAGGGTTATTTTTTACCCTTTCCTCTTAATAAGAATCATTCTCATGACTTACTGTCTTAAATAATAATTTGTGAAAAAAATATGCGTTATAAAACCAAGAATAGTTTTATACAGTGTTAACAACAGCTACTTTACATCTTTTTATTGATCTCTCAAGCCCAAACATAAATTAAGTCTTTCCAATACATAAAATACTGTATCAAACACTGTTCGATTTTACATTTTATTATAATAATGTAATACAGAAATTACAATTTGCTTAGTTTTTTTCTTCAGGCTAACACTTCGTGATGATTTTTTCTCATTTTTATTTGAACCCACTTACTTTGCACGTTTCGTTGCCACAACTTTAAAAGCTGAACCAGTTGTGGCACCGGAAACAGTTTTCACAATAATGGTATTAATACCAGAAGAAGTTGCTGCATGCATTAAACGAATACCGGGTATAGATGCAGCTGATGCAAAACGGTGTGACAGTATTTGTTTTTCTTCGGAACAGATCTCAGATGACACAAATCTAACGTTTAGATTGCAATTCTTCATTACCCAGTCATAAAGCTCCTTTGGCGTCTGAATAGTGGCTCCTTGTAAACTAGCGCTCGTTGCCAAGCTCTTCAAAGTTCTTCCCACTCCATCGCTTGGTCCTTTGCCATATGTCGTAGCAAAGTATTGCCACTCAGCGGGCACCCCAAAATCACTTACGTGGAAAACCAGGTTTATAATATTAAATCGGTTTTTATATTGCCATACCGCTCCATCAGAGAAGTACGAGATTTTGGACAACTGTGGTACCTCGGATTTTAGATACTCTATGAAATGGCGCTGGAAAGCATTAAATGTTGTTGTGGTGTGCTCTAGTGTATCGGAAATTATGACGCAGTTCAATGGTACAACTTTATTCTCGTGTACGGTGTAGGCAGCAAAAGGGTGAACGGTTGCCTGCAAATTATTATAATTAGCTCCCTGTACCCTATCTTGAAAAACAAAAGAATAGTTTTCAGATAAATCAGCCACTGCAAAGATTTCCCCTTCACGTAAGTTATCACGAGTGAATTTGAAAACCTCAGATTGTTTCGCAGCAATATAGTCGTGCTTTCGAACTGCTGGGATTGCGTCAATAATACAGTCTACAAACGGTTCAACATCTGATATTAAACTCTCCAAAGCACATCGTTCTTCCTGTGTCCATTATTTGTACGTGACCTCATCAATGCTACTGTCATTCAGGAATGACCAAATAATAGCACGAATTGGGTCCATATCGCCACACGACTCATTTGCGGGATTGCACATGTTGAGTTTCAACAAATCTCTGCACGAACTGAATAATTTAGCTCCATCAACTTCGATTTGGTCAAACTTTGCTCCCGTAAACTTAAGTCGAAAATTGTCGTGAATAACACACCCGTATACTGTATGCGTGCCTGCTGCTCCCACCAGAACGCACTCTGGCGGCCGATGTTCGGCAATTTTTGTGAAACCGATCTTCTGATCAGGACATTTTTCCTGAAATAGAGCATATATCTCACCCAGGTTTGCATGAACCAAACGGTTTTTTTTTTAAGACTCGTTTATCTCCCTCACGCACGCTTTTGTACTGTTTTTTCCCTGCCAACTCCTTGCTAACGTTTGCCTCGCGAAAGAAATCTTGCACTTTCTGCACAACCTCTTGAGATAAGGGATTCCTCTTACTGGGGTTAGGAGAACACGTAATACCCTTCACATGAATTAGATAAATTGAAAATGTAAACACAATCACAAAAGTCTAACTTCAAGGTTGCCAAACTCATGGGATATTGACACCTTTATTGATACACTTCGGCCTGTTTTGGAATGATCGGCACAACGCTTGGCACAGCTCTCGGCACTGCCAAAACTCTTGGCACAGATTAAGGTGTGCAGAGTTGAATACCCCTTGACTTCTATATCAACTTCTAATTACTTCTAGCGAGAAAAAAATAGCAGCTTTATTAAATCATTATATCAGTGGTTTTGTCAAATCAGGCGTAACATTTGATAACGGCACAAAAGCTTTTGTTAACAAAAGTTGTAAGGCCCCTTACACGCGAACCGACGAACGCCCACGAAAACCAACAACATCATCGGCTGGGGGCAAATTTTCCCTTTCCGATAATTGTATTGGTTTGCGTAGGCGTACTTCGGTCCGCGTGTAAGGGTCTTACAACTTTTGTTTACAAAAGTGTTTGTGACGTTATCAAATGTAACGTCTGAAAATATCTTAGCAAAAAAATAGAAGAAATTCTCATTACTGATCATTACCAAACGTATCCCATGTAAATTTAATGCTCACTGCGTTTATGATCATTTCTTCCATTATATTTTATATTTTACTAGCTGAGTGTGCCCGGCCTTGCCCCCCCCCCCCCCCTTTTCTCGTATCGTATCTCGTAGATACGTATCCCCCGTGTAAAAAAAGACCCGAGCGTAAATTGCATATAGTAGTATCCATTTAACACTAGCAAAAACAAAATACTTTTGCTTAACTGTAAAGTAACCAAAATTAAGTTTAATTCACGTAAATTTTAGAATGTGAAATATACTCATAAGTAACTTATTGAGCTGAACTATATGATCGTACCCCATTAGGCATAAATACGTTAGGCATACGGACGTTAGGCATACGGACGATAGGTTTACGGACGTTAGGCATAATGAACGTTAGGCATAAAGTCATTAGGCATAATGAACGTTAGGCATAATATACACTAGGCATAATGGACGTTAGGCATAAAATACCTTACTGCTGTGCAACTCTAGAAACCTGTTTCGAGCATGGTAAACAATGCTTAAATTAGGCTAAGCGTTGAATAAAAATGATACAAGTTAAACGAACATAGTTTATTTAATAAGCACAGTTTGGAATCCATTATTTATCATATCATAAGTGACGCAGCTACATATTTACTTAGATCCAAGATTAGTAGCGATAGCGTTTAAGTAATCTGACAATGAAAACTCAGCAAAATTTTGAACTATATCTTGAAATCAATCGCATCTAGAGATAAAAAAAAATACACATTTGTTTTAATATATTCTTACACACATATTGCGATTGTCAAAGAAGAAAAGATTCTCCTCAAAGAACAGCTCATGAAATAAAGAATGGTAAATTATGTGATTTTTCA